TCACTGAGCTACATCTCTTTATTTCTTGAGACAGGATCTGAGTTGCTAAATTGCTAAGGCTGGCTTAAACTTGTGGACTTCTTGCCTCAGCCTCCCAGAGTGCTGGGGTCTACCAGAAAGCCCAGCTAAGGAACTGTGAACTTTTAAAAGTTAATATAATTCATATTTTGCTACTGACACCTCCGAAAGACTTGATGGGTAAGGCAAAGCAACATCAGCTTTTTTTGTTTGAGTCAGGGTCTTCCTCTGTATGTAGTTTAGGCTGGCCTTGAACTCACTGGGTAGCCCAGGTCAACCCTGAATTTAAGGCGACCCTCTTGCCTCAGCCTCCTGAATGCTGAGATTACAGGCATGTGTCACCACACCTAGCTATACCAGCTTTTAACAGAATTATGGACACAAAAGCAGCAGGCTTAATACAAACCCCAAAAAATAAACCGTTTCCTCCAAAGACATTAAGAGAACTTGCTGGTCTCTAGAGGATTAATTTAGTTTTAACAGTGAGTTGTCCAGAGTCGGGAGGAGTCAAACAGTCCCAGATGTCAGGGACCAGTAGGGCCAGCTGCAGAGGCAACCTTCCCAAGAGTGACAGAGGGGAATTCTCAGAGATGGGGAAAACACTATAAAGTCACAATGCGGAGTTCTATCCCAGGGATGACAAACTTTTTCTGAAAAGGGCCAGGTAGTAAACATGTTAGGCTTTGTGAGCCTTACATTGGCTCTGTTGCCCTCTAAATTTGAAAAAAGTATTGTATTGATATAAACATAGTAATTGTGCAGTTATGGAATGATGAGTATCAAATCAGGGAAACCAACATATCAACTTCTTGGAACATTTATCACTCCCCTGAAGTAAAAACATTCAAAACTTTTCCTTTCTTAAAACTTTTACAAGAAATATAAGAATCATTTTTTGCTCAACTACTGAAAAACCAGGCTGTGGTCTTAAACTTAGCCTGCAGACCTCAGTTTGCCGACCCTACTTTATACCAAAGCAGTTTGACAGAACTTTCTCCAGTGATGTACCTGTTCTATAACTACACACCCAATATGGTAGTTTATAGCCACAAGTGTGGCTCTTAAGCACATGAAACATGCTGATGTGGGTGAGGAACGGAAAACCAGAATTTTTTTTTTTTTATGTGGTCAGGGTCTTACTATGTAGTCCAAGCTGGCCCTGAACTCATGATATTTCTGCCTCCGGAGCGCCACGATTACAGGTGTACACCACCATGCCTGATTTGTTTTTTCTGAGACAAGGTCTTACTTTGTAGCTCAAGCTGGCCTCAAAATTATGATCCTCCTGCCTCAGTTTCCTGAGTGCTGGAATAACAGGCATTTGTTGCCATATCTACCTACATTTTAATGTTTTTAAACAAATACAACATAAGTAAAAAATAGCCACATGTGGCTAGCAGCTACTATAAAATATAGTGGAGTGCTAAACCCTTAATCTGCCCAGACCCTCAGAAAGCATTTCAGAGTCAAGGGAGGGCCCAAGTCACCTTACCTGGCATAACCAATGATGAGGCTGCCAAACACAGTCCCAATCCCAGCCCCAGAGCCAGCTACTCCAACTGTGGCAGCCCCAGCCCCAATGAATTTGGCTGCTGTGTCGATGTCCCTTGAAATGATGCTGGTTTGGAAGCTGCGGCTAGGGACAAGTGAGGTCAGAGGACGAGAGACTGCAAAGTTGCTGAGGCTCTGTGAAGAAGAGGTAGGTAGAAGGTAAAGTGTTTTTTTTTGTTTGGTTTTGTTTTTTTGAGACAGGGTCTCACTGTGTAGTTGAGACTGACCTGGAACTCATTATGTAGCCCAGGCTGGTATCAAACTCACAGCGATCCTCCTGCCTCAGCCTCCCAAGTGCTGGGATTACAGGCGTGCACCACCATGCCTGGCTTTGAAGGTAAAGTGTTTTTAGAAACCCTTTTTGCTTTGAAATCAGCTGTACCCTTAAATTATGTAGGCTGCCAAATCTCCCTCAAATGGAAAATTATGTAACTTCCAGGAAAACTTCTTATAAGGATGGCAAGCAGAACCTTTTAATGCAAGAAGTGGAGTTTAAGGGCCAGGGATTTAGCTCAGTGGTTCCATCCACTGCCTGCCTCACAAGCACAAGGACCCAATTTCAATCCCCAGTACAAAAAACAAAAAACAAAAACAAACAAACAAAAAAAACACACACAAAAAAACACCAAAGCAACAAATACATTGTATGTATAAGAAGTGAAGTTCAAATGCCTGTAAGATTCAGGTGTAGTCTAAAAGTGTAAGACAAGGCCCCTAGACTGTTCTTGGTGTCTGTAACCTAAAGGCAGCAAACTAGTCCAAGTAATGGCAGTTAGGAGGAGAACATACGGGCATGTACTGCCAATAGCAAAAGCTAGAGCACTAAAACATTCATGGTTATTAACTATCCTCCATTTCCACCCAAAATCTATGGCCTTGATCCTTTCAGTCAGTGATGACTGCCCTCAACAGTCCCCCTATTGGTTCTGGCAGATTCCCCTTCCTACTCCTTTTCCCAAATCACAGTCCCAACTCCACCTATTAAGGTACCTCATCTGTCTGTGTCTTTGGTCTCTTCAGCACTACTGCAGACAGTGGCCGGCTCAGCAGCCGGGTGGTGCTCCGGACCTAGCAGGAATGACAAAGGGGCAGGAAGGTGAAGGAAGGCTGTTTACAGGACTTTCAGAACCATGCCAAGTTGTATCAGTCAGAAAACTTTATTTATTATTATTTTTTGGTGGTACTGGGGATTGAACCTAGGGCCTTACAATGAGCTACATCTCCACCCCTTTTTGAGACAAGAGCTTGCTAAATTGCTAGGGCTGTGCTCAAGCTTCATTCCTCCTGCCTTAGCCTCCCAGAGTGCTGGGATTATAGAACTGTACCACACTTGTTTTTTTTTTTTTTTTTTTTTTTTTTTTTAAAAGAGACAGAATCTTACTGTTGCCCAGGTTAGCTAGGAACTCCTGGGCTCAAATCAAGCAGTCCTTCCTCCTCAGACTCTCAGGTAACGGGAACTTTTGCCAGCATACCTACTTGCAGCAAATTTTAATTTAATAACCACACAATTTATCTTGCTTCTCAGCTTTAAGGTAAGAAAGTTTACTTTATTTTGAGCCACAAAAACTGTCTACCCTTGTACCTTCTCATAATTCTCTGTTTTATTTTTTTGGGACAAGGTCTCACTGTGAAGTTTTAGGCTGGTCCTGAACTCACTATGTAGCCCAGGTTGGCTCTGAACTTCGGTCATCCTTCTGTCTCAGCCTCTCAACATGCTGGGATTATGGGCATGCTCTTTTATAATACTTGAGAATGAAATCTAAAACTTAGAAGTATTTGTTTCACTCAACAAAGGAGAAAGATACTGGTAATGGCCACTCCACAAGGAAGCCATAGACTGGGGCATCTTTCTCTGAACATGTCCTTCTGGAAAGAATACCCTCTCAGAGTTTATCTCCTCCTGGTAGCCTTATCTAACTTCAAGCCAGTGTCTCTAAAACAGAAAAACACAGTAACAGCCAGGACTTCTCAGGCAGATCTTCATTCAAATCTGAACTTTTTTATACTCATTTGTGCCATCTCAGGATATCACTTACATCTTCCTAAACATGTTTTCTCATCTATCAGAGAGGAATCCTCTCTCGGGGTTGATCTGTGTAAATGAGATGGAGTATACAAATTGGTAAACTCAATGCAAAGCACGTACCGCTGCCCAGCAAACTATGAATGAACTGCCTCCATCCTCTATTTTTTTTTTTTTTTAAGGAAGAGAGATTTATTTTGGAGCATACATCTAATTAATTTTAAATTTCTTCCATGCTGTTGCTTCTGAGACACACTTTTCCAATTTGTTGGTATGTACTTAGCTTCTCTAAATTTAAATTTCCAGAATGAGCTGGGCGTGGTGGCACATGCCTGTAATCCCAGCACTCCGGGAGGCTGAGGCCTGGAAGTTCAAGACCAGCCTGGGCTACACAGTGAGTTCTAGAGCAGTCTGAACTACATAGTGAGACCCTGTCTCAAAAAACAAACAAAAAAATAAATTCTCAGAATGTACTCCTACCTATGGTTCCCTCCAGACAAAATTCTACATACAATGCATACTCAGACCAAGTTTTTGCTTACTGCTTCTGACTGAATTCTAGTTTATAGGAATACACAGTTTCAGGAATAATGTGATCTTTGTCATGACTATATAAGAATTAACTGGCCTCTAAAGGCTATGGGACAGTGGAGTGCTTGGCAAGCACTTACTCTCTCTTGTCCGGCTCTCACAGCAAAAGGTTCCCCCTTCCCAAGAATCTCATTCACTTTCTCCCAGACTAGGAAAAAGGTTTGACAGCAAGGAAGAAACAAAGTGCTTCCCCTTAAAAACTCCCAGAAAAAGCCAGTACTTACCAAGGAGGGGGTGGAGACAAATCTGGAGCAGGTATACATTTTCAGGGGGTGAGGGGCTGTGGCAGGAGAGCTGGAATTACAGAAGAAGCATTGTAAACACTGTCCTTGCTCACTAAACTGTAAGTGTCTTAGCAGAAAAGGTGCTCTGGAAAGCTCAAGTGGCCCAGAGAGCAGAGGGACTCAGGTCATTAGCACAAATGGAGTTTGAATCCTGATTTCCTCCAGAAAGCCCACAGAGCTTCCAAGATTTCCTTTCAATCAAGTGACATTCTCTTGGTTCTAAAAATAAGTCACTTGGTTCCCACTTTAAGGTCTATTATCAATTTCTTTCTTTCTTTTTTTTTTTTTTGGGTACCAGGGATTGAACTCTGGTCCTTGCGCTTGCAAGGCAGGCCACCGAACCGCTGAGCTAATCCCCGGCCGTATTATCAATTTCTATAGCCAAATGATTTGGGGTTGGCAGAAACATTTGCCCAGTGTCCTTTGCTGAAGTTTTCCTCAATCTTTGTTCAAAAGGGAACTCTTTATGGAATTACCTGGAAGCATTTGACTCCTCAAAACACTTCAAATTCCTATAGCAATTAACAAGATGAGGCAGATCAGTAAGAAATTCTAGTATTAGTTAGGAATGACTCTTAAAATTTCATTTTCTGGTATCAAAAAAAAAAAAAAAAAAAAAAAAGGACAGGTATTTAACTCAGTGGCAAGCACAAGGTCCTGAGTTCAATCCCTGGTACCAAAAACCAAAACCAAACCAAACAAACAAAATCTACTCATTTTCACCATCACATTAATTTTCTCTTTCAGTTTTTTGAGGCAGGATCTCACTATGCAGTCCAGATTGTCCTCAAATCTGCAGCGAATCTCCTGCCTCAGCTTCCCAAGTGCTGGGATTACAGGAATGTGCAACCACACCTGGCTAAAGTATTAAATTCTGTTATGTCCCAAGATCAAAGAATTTCTTATATCAGATGCCTAAATTGACTGAGCTTAATTTACCTGAGTTGAGAGAGTGAGCTAAAGATCTAAAAGGAGGGTTATTCCAAATGAGAGTCCAACTTTTTTTTTTTTTTTTTGAGACAGTCTTGCCATGTATTTCAAGCTGGCCTTGAACTTACTGTGTATAGCCCAGGCTGGCCTTGAAGTTCTGGAGATTCTGATCCTCCTGCCTCAGAGTCCTGAGTGCTGAGGCAGGAGGATCGCTGTGAGTTTGAGACCACCTGGACTACATAGTGAGTTCCAGGTCAGTCTCAACTACATAGCCCTGCCTCAAAAAAAAAAAAAAAAGTGTGTGCCACCATGCCTGGCACGAGAGACCAACTGAACCAGAACTATCTGTGAATAGAGGTGGTATATTTAAAAATACATATTATGGGCCAGGGATTTGGCTCAGAGGCTCTGCCACCTGCCTTGCAAGCAGAAGGGCTAGAGATAGATCCCCCCATATGGGGGGCGTGGTGCATATTCTTGGGTTGCAGCTTAGATATCCCTGGTCAAGATTCTAGGGATGAACTCAAGTCCTGTATTTCAAACAAATTTTCCAAATAACTGCCCATACAGTTAAGGTACACATAACTAAGAGTACAGTCAACAACTGTACTTAAATTGTATTCAGGACTGAATTCAGACTTTTTCACTCCTGAATTCTAATATGCCACACAACACTCAGTGAATGCTTAGGCCTATTAAATGCCACTTTTAAAAATGAACTGTACTACACTGTCCCAGGGTACTACACTTTTAGATTAACAACATCCCTTCAAGTCTTGTGATGTTTAGAACACTGATTTCTGTGTATACCTAAGTCTAACTCAATTCTGCTGCCCAAACTAGTCTGGGTTACACAGTAAACCCATCTCAAACCAACCAACCAATCACATAAACACACATACTACTTCAAAGCTTTTATAAAGGGAAGGCTTTTTCCTGAAAGAAATTAAGTCTTAAAACCATTTGTAAAATGTAGTTCTTGGGTTAATTTTGTTAATTTGGAAATTAACGTATGTAAAGTATAATGTGGTGCTGGCATATAATAAGCACAAAGGGTGATAAGTAAGACAGCCTGAACTTGCAGCAGATGCCACTACTGATCACCTAATTCTGCCAAGTCTGCAATGTTTAGCTTACACCTGGGCAGAGGCATTGTCTAGAACCAGAGCTCCTAAATCACCACTGGCATCTTCTTGGGTGTAGACAGTCAGTTACAGGATGTTAACTTAACCATTCCGTTCCTTAAACTTTCTTTTCCTCTCGACAGTAGAACCCGAGAAGCTTAATTAATACTTCACAAGAAAGCCACAGGTGGATATTCACGCTGGTCCCATTACTTGGCCTTCTGGGCCTGCTGCCTGTAACAGAAACCCTCAATTCTAGCTCACCATGTGTGATTTTTCTGACTTCACCAGGGCAATAAGAGAAAAGTACTGGGAAATAACCACGTTCCAAAGAAACAGCCACACTCTAACTGGAGAGGTTTCTGTTAGTGTCTAACGCATTTACTGTTTATTTTTTAAATTGAGGTATGCTGACTAGAGGAACTGGTGGCTTTAGAGGATGCACCATCACCAACGCTTGAGGCGTCTGAGGTTCTGAGGATGCAGTCTGTAGGTTTCAGGCACGAGTAAGGAGAACAGAAAAGAGGGGAAGACTCTAGGAGCTGTGACAACTCTGGAAGAGCAAGAGGGTAAGCGAAGAGAGCCGGTCTGTACAGGATGCGAGGGGGGAGGTGAAAACCGGTACTAGGGATCTGACTTTCGTCAGCTCCCATGCACCCTCCCCCCACCAGACACCCAAGATGGCGCCAGGCCCGCGCGGTTGGAGGTCACCGGAGCGCGGGAAGGGGCAACTCTCAGGCGCGGGGACACCGGGAACCCGGGAGGGTAGAGGACTGGGGTGGGAGCAAACAAAAACAGCAGCTGCGCGAGTGAACATGCCCCGCGCGCCTGCGCGGCGCGCACGGAGCACGAGGTACCAAGGCCTTACCTGCTCCCTGGGAAGAGAAGACGGAGAGGGGCGGGGGGGGCGGGCATAAGGACAAGAAAGCTCGGAGC